CCATCATATTTCTTTTTCCCTTTGAAATCAACGGTTTTCCTTATCAAAGGCCCGGCCACTTTTACACCNCATGATTTCAATTTTTTCAAAATATCTTCATCCTTTATGTAAACAGGAATATGCATGAATGAAACAACCTTGATTCTCGAATCAACAAATTTACAATGCATACCTTCTTTACCGTCTGCCATTAATCCGTCCTCCACCAATTTATATGCAACATCCTTATGCACAAGAGTAACATCATATGAACCGTTACAAGGAACACAAGCCAGTACACTATCCTCACCAAGTTTCTCCTCCACTAAGTCAATTATCTCCTTTGCACGATATTTCCGAGTATCGTGAACAAACACTTTCACCGTGTTGTTTTTAATCAACAGGTCAACGTCCGCCATCTTGACGATAACTGTCCACCGCCCACGGCTGAGGCAGCCGGGCCAAAAGGCCTAAAAATCACTTATACACTATAATATCCAATAAATAATATCCTTAAATAGTTCAGAAAGTCATCCAAAATACACACAAGATAATATGAGTATCCAACCTCAAAAGAATTTCACGGATTCAAACGGATTTACATAGAGAATTCAACACACGTCCTTCTCCTATGAAAACCAAACCGGAAGTCCACTGGTGTTTTCAACTTGGCATGGCCGTAGACGTTACACAGCAATGTTTCAGGCGAGTCTTTGGCCATATAATACGCTACGGTACACACGGAAAAATTAATTTCGGCCCAAAAATTTTGTCCAGGCCAGGAACTGGTCTAAATGGCCCACACGCGATCGAGACTCAGCCTTCCAAGAGTGAAAATGCAAATCCAAGCGTGAAAATAGGTGCAAAAGGGCGTCTACAGCACTCGGTGTTCCCAGGCGGTCACCCATCCAAGTACTAACCGAGCCCGATGTTGCTAAACTTCAGTGATCGGACGAGAACTGGTGTTTTCAACGTGGTATGGCCGTAGACGTTACACAGCAATGTTTCAGGCGAGTCTTTGGCCATATAATACGTTACGGTACACACAGAAAAATTAATTTCGGCCCAAAAATTTTGTCCAGACCAGGAACTGGTCTAAATGGCCCACACGCGATCGAGACTCAGCCTTCCAAGAGTTAAAATGCAAATCCAAGCGTGAAAATAGGTGCAAAAGGGCGTCTACTGCACTCGGTGTTCCCAGGCGGTCACCCACCCAAGTACTAACCGAGCCCGACGTTGCTTAACTTCAGTGATCGGACGAGAACTGGTGTTTTCAACGTGGTATGGCCGTAGACTTTACACAGCAATGTTTCAGGCGAGTCTTTGGCCATATAATACGCTACGGTACACACAGAAAAATTAATTTCGGCCCAAAAATTTTGTCCAGGCCAGGAACTGGTCTAAATGGCCCACACGCGATCGAGACTCAGCCTTCCAAGAGTGAAAATGCAAATCCAAGTGTGAAAATAGGTGCAAAAGGGCGTCTTCAGCACTCGGTGTTCCCAGGCGGTCACCCATCCAAGTACTAACCGAGCCCGACGTTGCTTAACTTCAGTGATCGGACGAGAACTGGTGTTTTCAACGTGGTATGGCCGTAGACGTTACACAGCAATGTTTCAGGCGAGTCTTTGGCCATATAATACGCTACGGTACACACAGAAACATTAATTTCGGCCCAAAAATTTTGTCCAGGCCAGGATCTGATCTAAATGGCCCACACGCGATCGAGACTCAGCCTTCCAAGAGTTAAAATGCAAATCCAAGCGTGAAAATAGGGGCAAAAGGGCGTCTACAGCACTCGGTGTTCCCAGGCGGTCACCCATTCAAGTACTAACCGAGCCCGACGTTGCTTAACTTCAGTGATCGGACGAAAACTGGTGTTTTCAACGTGGTATGGCCGTAGACGTTACACAGCAATGTTTCAGGCGAGTCTTTGGCCATATAATACGCTACGGTACACACAGAAAAATTACTTTCGGCCCAAAAGTTTTGTCCAGGCCAGGAACTGGTCTAAATGGCCCACACGCGATCGAGACTCAGCCTTCCAAGAGTTAAAATGCAAATCCAAGCGTGAAAATAGGGGCAAAAGGGCGTCTACAGCACTCGGTGTTCCCAGGCGGTCACCCATCCAAGTACTAACCGAGCCCGACGTTGCTTAACTTCAGTGATCGGACGAGAACTGGTGTTTTCAACGTGGTATGGCCGTAGACGTTACACAGCAATGTTTCAGGCGAGTCTTTGGCCATATAATACGCTACGGTACACACAGAAACATTAATTTCGGCCCAAAAATTTTGTCCAGGCCAGGAACTGGTCTAAATGGCCCACACGCGATCGAGACTCAGCCTTCCAAGAGTGGAAATGCAAATCCAAGCGTGAAAATAGGTGCAAAAGGGCGTCTACAGCTCTCGGTGTTCCAAGGCGGTCACCCATCCAAGTACTAACCGAGCCCGATGTTGCTTAACTTCAGTGATCGGACGAAAACTGGTTTTTTCAACGTGGTATGGCCGTAGACGTTACACAGCAATGTTTCAGGCGAGTCTTTGGCCATATAATAAAATTAATTTCGGCCCAAAAATTTTGTCCAGGCCAGGAACTCCACTAGTTCATTTGCCATCTCTTCCCATGTTAAAACACGAAATTCCACCTTCTACAACTATTTCGAGAAATCTCGTTGAAAGCTTCCCAATATGTCGAATAAAAGCCTGACCAATCCTCAATGTCTCCTAAAACATTCAATATATGATGACTATGAAAATTTTGAGCTACTAAAATTGAAAGTAGACTACTACCGGTCATACTCATCCGCTAGAGTTTGGTACTTCACAAAACGACTATTTTTATAATTTAGCCTTCCGCCTTTAGGTCTATCATTATCTCACCAAATCTTAAAGATAATGCAATTTCAGACATCAAATTTCAAATCTAAACCAAAAATTAACCAAAAATAGGCATCTTTCAAAAGGGAGAGAGAAAGAAGATTTCTAAAAATAGTCTGGACTACATCCGTATACAATCATTTGCATAAAATGTTTTAGCGCATAAAATGTTTAAGCGGAGTGAGTCCTATATATACTTTCATCAGTTATGTCCCTTTTTAGAATTTATCAGTCAATTTTGTATTTTAGTTTCCTTTTTGTCATGTTTGTTGTAGTATTTTACGGCAAGCAGGGTATGCGTAGGTAGGCCTACTCTTCTAGATACCGGATACCTCTTTTGTGAAAAGATTAGACACCTGATACCACTTAAGTGAAAAGTTCAATAGCTGCTACTAATATGCCGTTTTGAGGTTCAGATTGTTAATAGGCTACTTGGTTTATTTATTTGATTTGTACATCATAAAATGAATAAATCAGTGAGTAATTATATGATCAAGGTAACCGATTTGATAATATTAAGTGTAGACATGACTGTTATAGTCTTATGATGTATAATCGCGCTGCAATGGATAACTGGTAAATATTATATTAGTATATTTTTTTTTAAATATTGAAATTAAACGTTACTGTCAAGGATTTAAGTACATGTTACTTCCCTTGACATGAACAATGGTTTAGCAAATTTCTTCAGTCCCTTGTTGGTTTGATTTACCAATATGGGACAGAACTCGTTGAGAATTGTTGAAACAAGAATTACTTCCCTTATATTCTCTAATTTAAATGATTAATATGTTCGAATTGTACGTTTATATGATAGGCCATGGGTTTAAGTACGATCAATGTTATATTCGGACGATAAATTGACAGGTTCATATTAAGAGTATCGAGCTGCTACTATTTATGTTCTCGTACTATTTTTGTGTGTATGAATATCGATTGTTTACATTCTTACATTATTTACAACAGAGAAATAGGTCGGCAAATAAGAAAAGCTGAAAGACTAATATCACAAGATTGCCATAAATAATGTTTTAATCATGAATTAAACTTGGTCTGAATATTCAAGACAAGTCTCTAGTGATTTGTTTTCAAGCATGTATCTGGGAGGTTGATTATCATTCAAATACAGGACAATACGTGTTACACCAGATCCGTACACTTCAACTACTGTCACACATCTGAAGGCTTGTGCGCATCGTCGAGCTTTTTAAGTAGTGATCTATTTTTAGAACACGAATCGGGGCGCGCGCCACGAGTAAATCAGTCGTAGTTTCGATTGTCCAGTGCCATTAAAGATAGATCAATGTTGTAGTAGTTATAACGTCTGACAAAGTGAGAAGAGAATTAATAAGAGTGAAGTGTTTCTGTCCACAAGATTAGTTTGAACCATCTAACTTGATTTCTAATACCCAACTACATGTCAAATTTAGATTGGCCTAAATGAAATCAAAGGTAGTAAGTGAGCAGGATTCAATTTAGAATGAAAATTTTGTTAAGAAATTCATCACAACCATTTTCAGTTTTGGCTAATCAAGTTCAATTTTTATTTGCTCCTCATAGCAATTCTAATTCAAAATGTTCCAGTTCAGACTTGAGATCGATCTTGCCAACGGCGTTAACTCGTTAGGGTCATAAAGAGATGCCACACACTTTAGATTTGATAAAAAATTTTCACGAAGATTCTATCCATGCATTTCAGATTTGACCTTAGAATCAATTTGACAATTTTGACATTTTCGTCAGCAATTTGTTTCATTGCTATACTTCTTAACCAGTATAAAAGTTTTCATATTTTTAAATGAGACCCAACAGAATATAAAGCTATTTCAATCATTAACTCGAAGCAAGTTGGGATAATATAGCTATCGATGTGTTCATCAAAATTCTATGTTTTATAATGATGAACGGGGCGTGGTGGCTTTGACAATATTTTTAATAAGCTACTTTGAAAGTTTTATCAGTGCAAGGCAAATGAACTAGTTTTTATATGACATTTTCACCATGAGGTTTGCATAAAAATCCCGTCAGCCAGGTGGTAATGTCAATAATTTGACGTGATTTTAATAATAAACCTTGCCCTTGCATTTCTTTTTCATATATTAAGGGCGTGAACAAAATTCATAATTTCATTGAGAATTTGATAAGTGAGTTTTTTGTATCATAAGTTGAAAGCTGTCATATAGTTGTCAAATCTTTAATTCATAACATGTCCATAAAACGACACTCGTGAATTTGATCATGACTGGTGAAGTTTATGCATTCTTTTCTAATACTAATTTTAAATTAGTTACTGTTGAATTGAGTATTTCAGTTTGAGTGATAATGTTTCGTGAATAATGAATAACATCACATTAAACAGATCAGATGCTTTCTACTCTAAACCCTTACCAAGATTTGTGGTATTTTTCAGATCATCGTATTTGAAGTGATTTCGTATTGCCGTCACACTATCTGTGAGCTTACAAAACCACAAAACGAAAGCGAAGTTTTCATTTCGATATAACGGAATGGAATATTAGTTCATCTCGAATGATCCAAAT